TAAGTGTTGGAGTGAAGTCTTAACCGTTTAAGAGCTGAATGAGAAAGTTGGCCAAGTTGGTGGAGTACGCTGGACGTACAAGCCCTAAAGCGAGTACGCTAGGCGTACGAGCTGAGTACACCCTGCGTACTCAACAGTGGGCTTCAAATATATGGGCTTCTCGGTATTGGACCACATTGAACTTTTGTTGTTTTGGGCCTTGTTCGGCCATCAGAATTCTCTTGTTGGGCTATTGATATTTTATATTGGACTCTTTTGGTTGAAGGCCCATGAAAGGGGTTTGGGCCCAATTTGGAAAATTGGGCCATATTTGGGTTTTGGGTAATTATTTTGGAATTTGGGCCTTTGGACAATTGGATTGGGCCTTAGCCTTGGGCCAAGTTAAGGAAAGGGTAAAAAGGTCTTTTAGCATAGTTTGAACTCTTAGTGTGAGTCGGGATCCAATTATTAATTGGGTATTATTTAGTGATTGATAGCGCGGGGATTTAAGCGGGCCAACAGCCAGAGATTTTTTTGTGAGATTCTGCAGTGCGAGGTGAGTTTGCTCACCATGTTTAGCGGGTCTAAGGCACCAATGCCAACCCATGATCAGTTATGCTAGGATACTAGATGTTTGTGTGAGTCTTGTATGTGTATATGCTTATATGACTTGTATGTTGGGCGGTGCCTATTATGCGAGTTTGGGCGGGGCCCGTTATACTCATTGGGCGAGGCCCGTTACACTCATTGGGCGAGGCCCATTATGTGTTTATTTATGTATGGTATGTAATATTTTGGGGAACTCACTAAGCTTTGTGAAACATCCCGAAAATACGGTCCAAAAATTTCATTTTTCAGTCATTATAAAAATCATAAACCATCCAGTAACATAAGTAAAATCGTGGGTCATGTATCATAATATATCATAAAATCTATCTCATATATATATAAAACTCATAACAAAATATCAGAGTGAAACTCCCAGGCTGAAGACTGTGGTGTGTGCCATGCGATCACCCCGAGCTCTTCCCTTTGGTAGCTGAAGTACCTGAAACCAAAACTGAAAACCGTAAGCACGAAGCTTAGTGAGCTCCCCCAAACTACCACATACCATACAATAACATATATAACAAATACTGGGCCTTGTCCACTGCATCGGGCCCCGCCCGGCATCGGACCGAAGTCCGGAATAAACTGAACATAACATGAGCATAAACATATAACATATAACATAAACATATAACTGCTGCATCGGGCTTGCCCGACATCGGACCGAAGTCCGGGACACATAACACATAACATAAACATATAACTGCTGCATCGGGCTTGCCCGGCATCGGACCGAAGTCCGGAACACATAAAACATAACATAAACATGCATGAATCACAAAGACATCAGACATACATAACTACTTCTTGGGACCGCCCCGACATCGGACCGAAGTCTGGAAACATATAAACTGCATCAGGCTAACCCTCGACATCGGACCAAAGTACGGAACTACTAACATCTAAACGGGCTGGCATTATGGCCGTAGACCCGTTCCTACTGGAAGTAAACTCACCTCTCAACTGACTGCTGAAAAACTCGTGCAAAGGTGACACACCGTCTGCTTTTTGTTGCTACAACTACTCCCCGGCTATAATGACCAAATAAACCTTTAGTCAAAAACTGATAACTCTCCCATGGGTAAAATGACCATTCTACCCCTCTGATCTATCTTGGGCCATGACCTAGTCCCAATCCTTTCTAGTCCCCTCTAAGGCCCATTAAGTCCCCAAATGGCCCAATTTTCTGAATTAGGCCCAACTCTTCAAATGGGCTTTCCTTCCAAGCCCACTAACCCTTGGGCCCTTAACTGACTTCTAAAGGCCCATCACAGCCCATTACCACTATGTCCAAAACTTGGCCCAAACCAAGGCCCAATACCCAAAAGTCCACTGGCTGAGCGTACTCTGCTGTACGGTGCGCGTACTGCTTGAATGGCTTGTACGCCCAACGTACTCTCCTGTTAAGCCATCCTTTCCAAAACGACTTAATCTCTTAAGACAGAACGTCCAAACTACAGATCCGAGTCCCATACTTCATCCTAGCCCATAAAGTCGATCACTTGGTGGCTTGCAAGCCACCAAATGAGCCCAACACTAAAAAGTGACAAAGAATCATCATGGAAGTGGCTAGATCTCTTGCATGGCTTCATAAAAGCCTCAAATCTTGCAACTTTACAGCTAAAGGGACACTTTGAGCTTCAAGGGTGGCAACCCTAAGCTCAAAATCGAAGTTGCATGATCAAGATCCAATCTTTGGACCTAAAAAGATCCAAATCTTCCAAAACCCTAGATCTAGACTTTGAGGAGGAAAGTTATGAGCTTTATACCTCCTCTTGATGCCAAATGATGAGCTTAATCCAGATCCCTGAGCTCAAGGTACTCAAAGGCTTTTTCTCCCACCTCTCCTTCTATTCTTCAAAGCTTTCCTTCACCAAAATGAGCTCAAAAAGGTTAACACACACAACAATGGAGTATAAGGCGTATTAGGGTTTTCTGAGGGTGAGGGGGCTGGTAGGGAGGCCAGGGGGTGGCTATAATGGGGTATTTATATGCCTTAAACCCTAAAAATTAGGGTTTGGTATCTGCTCACGTACGTTGCGCGTACTCCTGGTACGCTGCGCATACGTGCGTGCGCCCCCGTATCCGATGCATGCCTCTACGCCCCGCGTACGCCAAGGCTACGCCCAATGTACGTCTTATGGGCGACCCAATTCCTTTGCCCCTTTGCTTAAATCCAATCCAATAGTTCTTTTATCTATATTTGACCCAATTATAATTTTAGGAAATAATTGATAATTAATACCTCAAAAGTCGGTCGTTACACTTTGTGCTTACGATTGATCTTTTGGGGTTGTATCGCAATGTTTGGATTAAATGTTTTTATTAAATCGAAAATGAAATTTTTGGGTCTTATTTTTGGGATGTTACAGTTAAACTAAATAAACGCTATGAGAAGGTAACCAACTTTTACTTTTGTTATTTTAAAAACAAAAACAAAAGTTATAATGGTCTTTTAAAAACAAAAACAAATATTAGTTACCTTCTAACAATATTTATAGTGAAATAGTAACCTTAGAATATTTCACATCGTTTGTTACTCATTTATTTCTGTATCCCTAATTCATTATTACCTTGAAGGGTAGCCCCTCAAGAACTTAAGGTTGGTATGTAACCACTTTTGAAAAGAAAAATATCATCTAAATTTACCCTAAATTGTATATACGATGAATATGTTATAAGCAATCCTTCTTTATGAACTAACTATAATGCCCATCATTAATTTTGTATAAATTAATCTAACTTGAATCTTCATACTTTTCAAATTTCTTCACATTCATTTCAATAATACTAGTAAGTTTTCCAGGTTTTAACTAAGGAAAAACTCTAAAATCTATGGGTGTCCAACTTTCTTCACTATTACCATCTGCAAGTCTGGAAGCACTCAATCTGATTGCCATGCTTCTTTCCTGAAGTCCATTTGCGATCGACAAGGATGGAGGCACTTTATCATCCTTTTTGCAATACATGTTAACATGTTCTACCATCCCTTCCAAAAAAAACTCTTTTATGGTTCAAAAATAGAAGATTTCTCGCAAAACTTGATTCTTTTGCTCCCAGAAAATCCATTTTATGTTCCTGAGAATGGGTTACAACATTGTTAGGATTAAGAACAAGTTGTAATTACAGTTGTGAATTAAATGTTTTTCAGGTACTTTATTAGTTCATGGGGATGCGAATGCGTTACTGTACACACACATCAACAATTTTATGATTGGAGATTCCATGATAATTTCGTTATAACTATAATTTATGGATTTCGAATTATGAACAAATGGTTTTTCTTTGAACGTACCTTTATGAAAATGAGTGTTTATGTCGGTTTAAAAATAAATTTTTATTCTGAAAATTAGAACGTTACATAATGTATATGCTTGTTTTTATGTATCCTTTCGGGGACATCTGATAAAATTGGAACATTACAGAGAAGATTAACATGACTCTTCGCAAAAATGACATGCACAAATCGAGAAATGATCCAAAAATATATGCTATATAGGTGATTTTGTACCTGTAGACAATAACACAAGTTCCTAATGTGGTCTACTTAATACTATAGAGATGGAGGTGAGTATATAAATCAATAAGAACTACTTCAAAGTTATTTAGATTGATACTTTACATATTTTATTTGTGATATGGATTTTAAATAATATAATATAGTACTACTATAAAATATATAGATGTTTGTAAAATAATTAATATGTAAAACAGATCATATATCTAAAACTTAAAGATAATCATTATGTTTAAATTTTGGAGACATGAGAGAAATGTAGATGTTATAAGAAAAAGTTGGATAAAAATTTAATTGTTAATTAAACTTTAGTGTATTGGAGATAGGCCAAGCCGCCAAGGTTAGTAATACTTTAATTATAGTTTCGTAAATAAAATATAATTATAATTATACAAAGCTCTTAATTTTAAGTTGATTGGAGCCATTTTTTAAGTTGTTTGGAGCAAAAGCAACCATGCCTGCATGTCATAAGATGAAGTCAGGTATAACCGTAAGATAATTAAGGAAACTTAAAATCCTAAATCTTGCATATCTGAAAATCTCAGTACCTAGTAGTATAAATAATAACCTCCTTTCATTCACATTCACAATGCACTGCCGACCCAATTACCCCCTTCACCTCTCTTCGTTCCCTATTTCTTTTAATTCCTTAACCCCTTCCTCCATCGTTTGTGTTTTATAATAAAATTTGTGAAGCATGCATGCCTGTTCATCAGAAACATGATGTTCTTTCGTGTCATTCATCAAGAAAGTTGAAAGCATAATTAAGGTGATGTGTTCTTTATAGTTGTGTAGGTAGCGAAAGTTTCTGTGAGTTCCTCTGCGTACCACGTTTGTGTGTTTTCTTGAGAAAGCTTGATAGTCTTACATATATAAAATGGAGCAGTATCAAATAATGAAGGAAATTGGGAGTGGATCATATGGAGTTGTCTGGGGAGCATTGAATGAACATACTGAAGAAGTGGTTGCGATCAAGCAACTGAAGATGAAGTATAACTCGACGAAAGAATGCATGAACCTGACAGAAGTCAAGGCACTACGCCAGATGGATCATCCCAATATCGTAAAGCTCAAGGAAATCATCAAAGAATACGATAGTTTGTAATTGGTGTTTGAATACATGGAATGCAGTCTCTACGAGCGTATGAAATGCAGGAAGAAGCCTTAATTTTTCAGAGGATGACATTAGAAACTTGTGCTTCCAAATCTTTCAAGGTCTGGCGTACATGCACAATAACAGCTACTTTCATCGTGACCTCAAACCAGAGAACCTTCTTGTTTCCAAGGATGTAATAAAGATTGCTGATCTTGGTCTAGTTGGCGAGACGAACCAACAGCCATACACTGTTAATGTTGGGTTACGCTGGTATAAAGCCCTGAAGTTCTTCTTGGGCAAGAATATGATTCTTCAGTTGATACGTGGGCAATGGGTGTAATCATGGCTGAACTATTTAGAGGGGGGCGACTATTTCCTGGTAAAAATGACGGAGATCAAATGTATAAAATCTGCAGTGTGATCGGCAGTCCAACAGAAAGCATGTTGAGCCTGGTAAATAGCAATTATCAGTACCCACAGCTTCCTGGCGTCCAACTTTCTTCACTATTACCATCTGCAAGTCTGGAATCACTCAATCTGATTGCCACACTTCTTTCATGGAGTCCATCCGCAAGGCCGACAGCGATGAAGGCACTTGATCATCCTTTCTTCAATACCTGGTACCATCTTCTACCATCCTTTCAAGGAAATCCATTTTATGGTTTCGAAACAGAAGATTCCTCGAAAAACTTGACAAGTCTGCTCCCAGAAAATCCATTTTTGTAGTTCTGAAACAGAAGATTCCTCGGATCCTTCCGAAAACTTGATATGCCCGCCCCCAGAAAATCAATTCTACGGTTCCGAAACAGAAGATTCCTCGGAAAAATTGACTGGTCTGCTCCCAGAAAATATATTTTGTGGTTCTGAAACAGAAGATTCCTCGGAGGACCTAGAAAACCCATTTTGTGTTTCCAAAACAGAAGATCCCTAGAAAACTTGACATGTCTGCTCCCAGAAATGGTTCCAAATCAGAAGATTCCTCGGAAAACTTGACTCGTCTGCTCCCAGAAAATCCATTTTGTGCTTCTGAAACAGAAGATTCCTCGGAGAACCTAGAAAATCCATTTTGTGTTGCCGAAATAGAAGATCCCTCAGATAACTTGATATGTTTGCTCCCAGAAAATCCATTTTATGGTTCCAAAACAGAAGATTCCTCGAAAGGCTTGATTGGTCAGCTCCCAGAAAATCCATTTTGTGGTTATGAAACAGAAGATTCCTCGAAAAAATTGATTCGTCAGCTCCCAGAAAATCCTTTTTATGGTTCCGAAACAGTAGCTTCCTCAGAAAACTTGTCCCCTATGTTTCTAGAAATCCATTTTATGGTTCCGAAACTATAGATTCTTCAGAAAACTTGATCCGCCTACTCCCACAAAATCTATTTTTATGGTTCCAAAAAAGAAGATCCCTCAAAAAACTTTGTATGTATGCTCCCAGAAAATCCATTACTTGGTTCAAAGAATTGCGGATTTTTATTCAAAATAGAGAGGAAGCAGGATCCGATGAAGCAAAAAACAAGAACAAAAAGTTTCACCATTGGTTTGGAAAGCGATGCGGAGCATATTGACGAGCTAATGATGGTATATATGGATAAGTTGGAGAAGAACAAAAGGGGTACCGAAAAGAGACAACTTCAAAGGATCAAAGGAATTAAAGAGGCTCAGCAAACGAACATAACTTGTTATCCTATGTTGAAAGTAAAAGGGTATTTGCCTTGTATCAAAGGAAAATTTTTAGTTGGTATGAATAGTAGCATGCTATGATGCACGGAAACTTCTCTAAGGTTGCCGTTCCCGTTTCGGAAACTCCATGGAAACGGATACTCCGTAGAAACGCCATGGAAACGTTTCCTGGAAGTATCGGGTATCATGGAAACGTTTCGACAAAGTTTCCTTGAAGTTTTGGTGAAGTTTCCTAGCCGTTTCTATTTTATTTTAGGGTTTACATGGGCTTTTTAAGCTGAAATCCAAAAAAGGCTAATGGACTATTGTTTTTAAGGCTCAAAACGTATTCGGTATTCCCCTAAGTCCATAACCGCTCATCGATCAAAGTCTCCTGTTGTGAGTCATCTCATGTCTTCTTGATCAAAGACGATCAGTCGATCACGATTCACAAGGATCGTTGATCATCATTCATCACCATTCTTGATTCTCCTAATTCCTAATCACATCATCGATTATGGCTTCTCAAGAAACATAATGATCATCAACTACATCAATAGACCAACCTTCATTGTGGGACTATGTGACTAAACTGGAAAAACTTGTTGGAGCAGGAGGATGTTGGAAAGATTTAGTATTTTTGGAGTTTACACTTTACATCAATATACATATATATATATATATATATATATATATATATATATATATATATATATATATATCATACTATCATCATATCATATCTTATCATATCATCATATCATACTATATTATAAAGGAAACATTTTTTCTTTCACCACAATTATTTGAAACTCCCATGCATTTTTCCTTTCACCACATTCATTTGAAACTCCCATGACTTTTCAATTTCTTTCTAATAATGATTATAAGTTGGTTAATAAGATTAAATAAATATCAAACCTAAAGTGTAATAATATATAAACTAAATTTCAATATTAAAAGAATATCTTTACTTCTCCTTATAAAGTTATGTTTTTTTTTAACTTTTTACATATTATACTTAATTTATTAGTTTTAATATATTGTTGGATGTAAACCATTATCATTTTAAAGCTACAACGTTTGAACAATTTGTATAAAATATTTAAATTATAAACTTAAATATAACATTACGGGACCAGCTTAAATATAAATTTTAGTTTAACTTAAACAACCCAAATAATATTTTGTAAATAGTTAAAAGTGATAAATTGTAGTGTCCTTCTAATAATGATTATAATTTCGTTAATAAGGTTAAATAAATATCAAACCTAAAGTGTAATCATAAATAAACTAAATTTCAATATTAAATAATATATTTACTTCTACTTATAAATTAATGTGTTTAACTTTTAACATATTATACTTAATTTATTAGATTTAATATGTTGTTGTATGTAACCATTATCAATTTAAAGCTACAACTTTAGAACAGTTTGGACAAAATACTTAAACTATTAATTTAAATATAACATTACAGTGTTAACTGAAATATAAATTTCAGTTCCACTTAAAAAATCCAATGAATATTTTGTGAATAGTTAAAAGTGATAAATTGTAGTGCTAAATGCAAAAACTAAATTATAATATCAATTTAACTAAAATAGTTCTTAAAGATATTTGTACAACCGTTAAAAGTTTTCAAATAAGTAGCTTAAAATAACAATAACAATAGTTAAAAATAACTCTATATAAATGATTATATTGTTACCTTTAAAATAAAAAAAAATGTTTGATATTTTATATAATTATAATGATAGAAATTAAAACGTTAAAAAAATAAATTTAAAAAAATTAATTAACAATAACAGAAACTATAAATAACAGTAAGTCATATATTATATTTAATTTTATTCATGAGTAACTCGCGGGTAGAAGTCATTCAGACGGTTGAGATTATACAGTTATAATAGATGTATATATTATCATATAATTCAAAATAATCAATATATTATATCAATTTAGTATACGAATTATTATATCAAATTTAACAACAACGTTATTGTAATATTTAAAAAACATATATTTGTAAAGATTTCAACTATATAGGTGTTTCTGCGCAATGCGCGGGCATTCACCTAATATATATATATATTGTGGTATCTCTGCCGTATCCGTATCTTGAATTTTTGAGTTTTGTCGTTTCCCGTTCTCGTTCTGTATCCGTTTCCCGTTGCCGTATCCGTTTCCGTGCAACTTAGGTAGCATGTCATCAATTTGTATGTATTCGATTTGGTTTTTGATTGTTATTCAATATTAGAGATGCATGGTTGATATCGTATGTTTTGAATGAATTGACAAGCCATTTCTCTGATTTAGAAATTGATAAATCATTTTTCATGTTTGATTAATTATTTCTTCCATTTTGTATTTGTCGAATTAATTTTTTTACATGTGAATATGTAACATACTAGTTTATAACCCGTGGGAACCACAGTTATAAAATTAATTAAACTTTAATATAAAAATTCAAAATTATTAATCAATTATTTTAAATAAATTATTAATTAAGAGATATTTTTATTAGCTATGTAAAATTATAATCGTTAATTCAAATAAATATGTGAAATTAATTTTCAATATATACTAGACATTTTATATTTGTGGATTAATGAAAACAATAATATAAAATTTAAAATTTCAAATGAAGAATAAATATATTGACAAGTAGCATCACATTAAATAGGAGGTCTAATAAATTTAAAATAGACAATTAATAGATTGACGAGTAGAATCACATTAATTAAGAGGTCTAATATGATGATATATGACAAAAAGAACTACTTTTTTACTAGTATAGGGAGATGTTTGTGTATACGTATATTATTTAGAATTTTATGGTGGAAATATATATATATATATATCTATATATATATATATTATATATATATATATATATATATATATATATATATATTCCATCATCAATGTATAACCGGGGAGCATAGGCCACTATCCGGTCATATTTATAGAACCGAACCGGTTAAATCAATTCTTAAGATTTTGGAACAACTCTTGGAACCGTCGGAACCGGTCCAAAGTACATGGTGACCGGTGTCTACTTTTAAAAATAATATTAATAACAAAAAAAACATTTTTCAATACTACAAGTAAATCACATACCTTTCAAATTAGCAACAATACATCACTTGTATGGAGATGGACGCTGGCCTACTCATGTATGTACAATACCTCAAGATTCCCACTCATGTATGTACAATACCTCAAGATGCCCGGGGTCTAATTTTAAAAATAATATTAATAACAAAAAAAATACAATTACAATACTACAAGTAAATCACATACTTCAAATTAGCAATAATATCACTTATATGGAAATGGACGTTGGACTACTCATGTATGTGCAATAGAATAATTATTGGCAGCGCTCCATTATCATAAATTTCAAAAGTTTGATCTCCCTTATGAATATGCACAAATTGATAATAGTTATTCCATACAAAAGTACAAGGCACACCTTCTGTTTTGTATGAAACCAAGGCAAAAATATGTACAAGCACCGTTAATATCGTCATATTATGCTATGTATAAACCGATCTAGATAGAATTCGAAAAATCTAATTAGAAGTCTACAAATATGTCCAGATCTAGATATAATTCGAAAACTCTAATTAGAAGTCTACAAATATGTACCAGTCACTTATTAATGATGGTGGAATATAAGAACCCTTGAAACTCCATAATTACAAGTTTTGTTTTATAGTTTCTCACTTCTTCCTTCTTCACGCATTCGTGCAACAGCCACTGACTCGACTTTCTATAATCAGTTTCTTCAAGAACTGCAAATCGATTTTACTCAAGAACTACACTACACAATTCCATGATTGCTACTAGAAATCAAGCCGTTTTCATTAACTGTCCTGCCTATATAAGAGTTGGATTTCACTGTAAATGCTTCAATCATAGTTGTTGTACGATAGTTGGTGGTAGAGAAAAGGGGCGTCGATTAAAATTGGTGGAACGCTTTCTGGGAAAACATTCCCCATGTTCGTGGTATAGGTTAGGGCTCTTACTTTGCTTCCTCTCCTACCCTCCGTTCCCTAAGATATAAAATATAGTTGCAAAACCCTTTCATCACTTTGATGATTTTTGTTGATTATAGTTGTTTCTCAATTTGAAGGCAAGGAAGGATATGGATAAATGGCTCTCCTAATGAAATGCTAATGGGGAAGAGTATGTATCACTACTAGAAAAATGAGAATTACCAACGACATTATCCGTCGCTATTACGTCGGAATAAGAGGATACCGACGGACTGCCATTGAAAAATTGGTTGTAACGTAATAGTTCGTGGGTAAATACTGCCGACGGAATAGCTACGAAATACCTACGACATACCGACAACATTTTTCCATCGGTAAATTACCGACGTAACACCTACAGAGAGAAATAGCAATGGATTTCCTACGGATTATTGAGGGGACCAATTTGATTGACATTGAGTTTCTTACCGACGAAACCGACAACCTATATTGCCGACGGATATCTTGTCGTTATTCCGTCGAAAAAATCGTTTTATTCATAAAAGAATATAAAATATAATATATTTTCATTTTTTTTCAAATATGCAAAGTAAACCAAATTCAATAGTTGCCCATAATCATATTCAAACACAAACCTAACGAGAACAATACAACTAGAGTTTCAAAATACACAAA